CCAAATACTTTCATTATCAGATAATCAATCCTTGCATCATGAGAGACAAACGATTAATGCATACACTTGATTAAGCTCATTCAACACACATCATTAACCGATTCATTCTTTTCATCTTTTTCCTTTTGGGGAAATTCAAAAACTTCTATTTTCACCAACACTTTACCTCTTTTCATTTCACGTCTTTCTTCTCGGGAGAAAATCGGTACCCTCCACAAAAATGACTGAAATTTTTTGTTTTTTCAGCATTTTCGAGTCACATTGAGCTGAGTCTTTGCACATTGAATTGTGTCACCACATCGAGTTGAGTCATGCACATTGAGTCATGTCGTGTCACCATATCGAGCTGAGTTTACACACACGAGTCGTATGCACGACCGACACATCAAGTCATATCACGTTGAGTTGAGTTTGCACATATCGAGTCGAGTTGAGTACATTGAGTCACACAATGAGTCGAGTACCACCAAGTGATAAGTCTATTATATATATATTTTTATTCCCCGTCCCACGGTCATATTTGTGTTTATTCGAGCTCTACGGAGCTATTTTTATTACTAATATACGTTTTCTAGTGTTTTGTAGAGTTGGTATTATTTTGTAGGAATTTGCAGAGTCATGACAATTTTCGGTCTTATTATACCACTACGAAGATATTGGAGTTGGATCGTATTTTATGACCGTATATTTAAAGCCCAAGATTGAGCTAATTAAATTTGGTTCGGCGATTAAGGGCTCAGTTTGTTTGGAGTACTAATTTTATTAGTATGATAATTTGATATCAAGAAGAAGGAAATTGGGTCAATTATATAAAAGCACAAGTTACAAATCCAAATATTGAAGCAGCCCAACACATTGCTCAGCTGACCGGGCCCAATCAATGACCTTGTTCACGAGCTGTTTTGCTTCATCAGTGGGCTAATTATTTAGGCCCACTTGATTCTTGTTTTGTCGGTGGACTTGTTTAGCTTAGGATTTCCTTGATAAATAGGAGTAGTAGTGCGTAATGTGGGGGAGGTTAGATTTTATTTTCTTTTATTTGTTTTTTTTTGTTTTAGTTTTTGTTTTCCGTAAACTTGTTTTAATTGAATTTCAGTAGCTTAGAATATTTAGTGAGTTGACTTTGTTTCTTTTGCTTGGTGTTGCTTCCGTTTTCCATGAGATTTCATGATTACAATATAGTTTTACTTTTATTTATTTATTGTTGCTTTACTTAATTTTTGTTATTTAATTTCAATACTAGTTTATTTTATTCTTGCTATGTTTATGTTTATTTTAATCGCTTTGATTAGTTTAGTTTTAATTATGCACGAGTAGTTTAATTCTAGGGTTCTTGGGGATCCATGAATAATACGAAGGGGTAATTTATTATTGTTGATTATTGATGATTGGTTAATTTCCTATTGATTGATTTAATGCTATGCAATTAGATTTGCGCAGGTTTAATTGTATGAGTTTTGCAATATTGATTCGAGATTCGAGAGATGAGAATTGATATTTAGGCTTAGTTTCAATAGGCATGTTAATCTATTAATGGTTAGGTCGAGATTCGAGAGATGAGATTTAATACCAGTAGATTAATTATGTGATTATAATACGTAGCGACAACCCTTTATAATCTGGTTAATTTATGCATTGATAATTGATCGTATGATTTACCCTAGAGTATTATTTATTGGTGAACCTATACCCTAGAACTTTTTATTATTGATTATTCCTTTTGTTTAATTTGCTTAGGTTTACTATTAGTTTGATTCATACAAATATAAATTGGTTACGTGATAATTTAGATTATAATTGTTGATTAGGAATAAAAGAACATTGTTTCCCTGTGGATTCGACCCTACTTCCATATCTACTTTAGTTAGAGGATTTAGGAATTACTTTTGATTAGGTGATACGACTTAAGCCTGTCAAAATTTTGGCGCCGTTGCCGGGGAAACGGTTCTATTTCTATTTCTGATTATTTTTGTGGTCTAAATTATTTTCTTTCGTCTCAGACAACGCAAGTTCTTTGAGACAGTTTCTCATACTTGTTTGTTTAGTTTTGTGTTTATGCCCAGGAGTTCTAGATCAGGTTACATTCCATTTGACCCTGAGATTGAACGTTCTTTTCATAGACAGAAGAACCTTTTTAAACAGGTACGAGCTACTTCCGAGGGTACTATACCTTTGGAACCACCATCTGATTCTAGTGATACAGAAGTTTATTCAGAACTAGAAGCAGAGATGACGCACCAACCACCTCGCAAGCTCAGCGATTATTCGCAGCCGTCCCTGGCAGATTTCCAACCTCTTACTCCTCCACCTGATCTCGACGGAGTACAATTTGAAATCAAGCCCCAATTTATTACTATGATCGAAAGGAAGCAATTTAGCGGAGCTAAGGGTGAAGATCCAAATCTTCATATTTTAGATTTCTGCCAATATTGCAACACCATTAGGCAAGTTGGGGTCACGCAGGACCAAATCAGGGAGATTCTTTTTCCTTTCTCTTTATGTGGTAAAGCTAAATTGTGGTATAATGGATTGAATAGAGCTGCTCTTGGTATTACTAACTGGGATACTCTTGCCTTGAATTTCTATAATAAATATTACCCTGCAGAGAAGACAGCTTTGTTAAGGAGTAAACTCCTAAATTTTTCCCAAGAAGCGGATGAATCTTTATATGAAGCTTGGGAAAGATTTAAGGATTTGCAGAGAGAATGCCCTCATCATGGGCTAGAAAAGTGGCAGATAATCCAAGCCTTCTACAACGGGATTGGATATAATTCAAGAATAATTTAAGACTCTGCAGCTAACGGAAGATTTATGAATTTAGATGTAAATATAGCGAGTAATGTTGTTGAGGAGATGGCAATACATAATTCCCAATATGGGAATCCAAGGGGATTTGCAAATAAGGGAAAGCACCAAGTTGATTCTATATCCTTTTTGCAAGCACAATTGACTGCTATTAGCCAGAAACTAGACAATATTAATAATTCTAATTCATCTTCCGTTGCTAACATTTCTGCTATTGGTACTAACTCTGCAATTAACTATGAAAATTGTGGTCTTGTAGGTCATTGGGCTCAGGAATGTACTAGTTCGCTTGAGAAAATTAATGCTTTTCAGGCTTATAAGCAAACTAGTCCATACTCTAACACCTACAATGCAGGGTTGAAAAATAACCAGAATATGTCGTACAACAATACGAATGTGCCTAACCCCCCACCACAGGTACAACAACCGCAACAGAGATACTACCAACCTCCACATCAGAGACCACAACAGTCTGTTACTCCCCCTTCTGATTCTGGCTTATCAGAAATCAGAATGATGTTAGTTGATATGCAGAAACACATGCAGAGTAGGGATGCACAAATTGATTCACTTTTAGCCCATAATAAAATCGTGGACAATCAAATTACGCAACTTTCCTATGCTCTACAAACTCGCCAGCAGGGAGTCCTACCATTGCAGCCGGTGCAACCTACCGATCACGTGAATGCAATTACGCTGAGAAGTGGTTCAAAATATGATGGGCCTTCTATGCCCAAAGCTGATGAACCTATCATTACAAAAATTGCTACTCCTGATTCTGTTACACCAAATATTGTTGTTACTAACCCTGCAGGGCTCCAGAATAAAACTAACTCTTCTGATAATAAATTGCAGGGTAAAACTCAAGACAAGAGTGGAGATGTACAGAATCCAGTTATCAAGCTACCATTTCCTAATAGACATCTCAAGAGTAAATTAGATAAGCAGTTTGGTAAGTTTCTGAAAGTCGTCAAGAATTTGCAGGTAACGGTTCCTTTCACAGAATTAATTACTCAAGTTCCTGCATATTCTAAATTCATGAAAGAAATTTTGACCAGAAAAAGATCTATTAATGACTTAATGGCATGATTTCACCCATCCGTAGTTGGAATTTCGTGACTTAATGGCATGATTTTCAGTCAAACTTTGTGGGAGTTCTTTTGCTTCGTGCCTTGAATCGACCATTTTTTTAGCCTCTAGAGTTGACATAACAACAAAATTTAATTCAAGATTATGTTTGATAATCCTTAGTTTTGATGGTTCAATTTGTAGATATTGCTTTGTGCATATTCAAGTTCATATTTATACACTATTCCATGTGTTTGTTTAGTTAGGCAACTTGAGCTAAACCTAAACCTGATTGTTTTTATACATATTATGGGAAAGTTGACAGCACTATAATTATATATCTCGTCTTTGTTTAATTATACTATATGTTACATTACTTGTAAAATAAAAATGAATTTTAATATCACAATTAAAATACTCACCGTCCACATTTGATAGATTCAACTCAATTACGTAGTCAAGCCAATTGTGATGACTTCTTTTTAATGTATATATGCAAGTTTCTTTAATTTGAGCTTAATTCAATTGTAAATATGGATAGAGATAGTAACAATAATCATTAATGAAGTTGACTTTGTAGTTATAATATCTAAAGTCATTAAAAAGTTATTGATGAAAATTGTCCATGTGTATGTGAAGAAAGACTATCCAACATAGTGTATTTGGGCTACTCTTACTATCATATGGTTTTAGATTAAAACCTCACTTAACTCGTGGATTCGCGATATCTAATCCTAAATTGGTAAGTTTATGGCTTGCATTGTTTACATGAACACCAGTGATGTCTTTGAAGATGTGAATAATAGTTGAAGAATACTTTTATAAGCATCAATCCTTGTTTAATTTATACTTGTATGTAACAACGTAACAAGACCATGAATTAGATAAACACATGCCATTTTGGCAACAGAACTCTGTATAATTAATACAGTAACATTAATAAGGCTACAGAATAACTTTAAGTTATTTCAGATTTAATATACTCCTTCCGACCTTCGTTTCAGAATACTTGCAATAATTTGACTTTTGCACTTTCATAATACATTAAAATTGAACCTCATGTTCTTACTACGAGTAATATACTGTATAAACTCACATGTAATTGTGTAATATATTGTTGTTATATCAGTAACTAGAAATTTGAAGTATACTTTTATTAATATCAATCCTGGTATAGTGGTATTATTATTCGTAACATGACCATGAATTAGATGAACATATGCCATTTTAGCAAGTTTCTATTGCTATACATAATTCTGTATACTAATAAGGCTACAGAATATTATTAGCCTTTTTCTTACTGCTACTCTTTTCGCTTATTTTAGATTCATTCATACTGCTAAGTGCTAACTGTTCTCCTTATTGTACTTCAAGTCAATCGATCTATTTTCCATCAGCGAAAGCCTACACATTTTCTGATCAAGGAAAACAGATGTCGTAAATGATTTAGACTTGTTAGTTCAACTTGCCTCGTTTCTTCTGAGTTCTGCGTCATCTGCTCACAAGTTTCTTCTTCTATTATAACTTCAATTGCAAGCTTTTCCGTTGCCCTGCATTCCAAACTATTTTTCTCATGGTGCTGAGACACAGTATGCCTAGATGGCGATTCTCTGCGAGAAGAGGCAAGAATGATTTATTACATCTGTGGTCTGGTTTGTACAACATATATCTTCCCATCCTTGACAACACCTTCGATGTCTTGAGGAGAACCGTACAACTCCTCAATTGCGCTTCCTGTCTTTGCAATGCCTGACAGCACTGACTGACGGAAGTTGCTGTCATTTATTAATTTGTCGACTGAGTAGTCTAGCACAACTTTCTCTTCTTCATCCATTGGAACACTGTTCAGGAATAAGATTGGCCAGATGTTAGCATCAAAAGTAATTTAAATATGGACGATCAAACATACCAATTGATTTAACTTAAACAAGTTGCACCACTTCCAAAACAGCATATCAAAAGCTCTTACGTAATTTAAATTCCTGGATCTATTAGTATACAGAGATTAAACCAAGAAGTGATCAGTGTTAAATTCAAAGACCGAGCTCCCTCAGTCCCAGAATAATCTTATTACTCCCTATTACCTCAGAAAATAAGAAGAGTAGTTCAATGTGAATAATCAAATTGGAAAAGTGGCCACAAATCGGAAAAACAGCAAGAAAAGGTATTGGAATCAGAGACAATATAAAGGTTGCAGTGATGAAGGGAGTAACTTATGCATTATGGCATTATGCTTGAGAAGGAAATAGTACAATTGTTTTGGGACAGCTAAAAAGGTCCATAAAAGACGACTAGGAAGATAATTATTCAGGAAAGCAGAGTTCATATTATATTAGCAATATACCTGTCGTAGAGTCCGGCACCAGCATAACCTTCAAGATCTTCACCATTTGAATCAGATCGGAAAATGATAGATTGATTGATGAAGAGGCCAATAGGTTTACTTGGGTATCCCAAAACCTACAATATTAAAATTCATCAGTGTTCAGTCCAATTTCTTTCTTTTGATGAGTATGCATACTTCATTTTATTGGATAGCATAATAAAAAAAAATTGCTCTTATACCCCCATTTTAATTGAATATCAATATAAGGAAACAGTGTGTATCCCCATAGTAATGTTATACCCATGCCTGTAGAGAGTATATTTTATTAAAGACATATTCAGGCAACTGTTAGTGTTCCCTAAGCAACTAGCGTTCTTTCATAGTGTACTCTGTAGGACCGTAATAAGAAGGTAACTAAATTAACCTTTGGCGAGTTGAGATCACTTTTCTTGGAGATGAAGCTTAAAGCACGGCCAGGATAGGCCCCGACCAAAGTTTCTCCAAGTCCTTTCACAACCTACACCAATTAAGAGATGTTCACACAATTATTCATATCTATTCCAGGAAAGGTACGATAATTCCTAATGGATACACGTAAGAGCTAGAAACTGCATTACCTCAGCATATATTTCAGATGAATCCCCGGAAGAAGGGTTTGTTGTGTGAATAACAAACGCATAATCAGCACTAATAATTTCCTGAACCAAGACAGCCATGCAGAGATATTCATGATCCAGCCCAACTTTTCTTGTACTGAAGTATGCTCTCTCGTTCCACTTTGAAGCCCAAACCTGTAAGACATATTTCGATTTCGCATACAAGACAATATATCACTCTCCTTTGGAATATTGAACATGAACATAGAATGGGAACTATAAAGAAATTTGAATAGCAATTGATTGTTGTGAGGGATGGGAACAAGGTTTGGGTCCATGCAATAAATTTTCGATCAAAGTAGAAAAGGCGCCCAAATAGAATTGGACGATGATCCTTTAATGAACACAGAACCACCAGCTGAAAACAAAATGTATCTCACCTTTTTAATTGCTGTCCATGCTTGTTGCCAGCGTTTCTCACCTTCATCCCCAGGCCATGGCATTCCAGAGCTCTTCATCTTGCTTTTAAGCTCTTCGACCTAAATTGTAGTTTTGTTCAACAATCATTTCATACATAATGTAATAAAATGACTAGAAAGAGTTTTTCGTACAAAGTACGCAGACAAAAAAGAGAGAATAAAATGTCAAGAGACAACATGAGGCTACCACCTCTACTCTTTAGTGAGGCTACTACCGCTACTTAAGACATTAGTGATATCTGGTGGTATATCATTCTCCCGGAATGTAGAGTGCAAATTAAGACACACACACATAGTGTCATAGATATACATACATAAGGATGGAAACAATGAGAAGGATGTAATTTTGTTTTTCAAGCTGAAGATCCCCTTTTTTTTTTTATTATTTACAGAAAATATAAAAGATGCACAATCTGTTTGAAAAATACGCAGGTAATAATTAAGGTTTAAAAAATGTTGTGCATTTAGCTTAAAAACATGTGCATTCAATATTAGTCTTCTCATTTTACCCTATATATTGTAGGTTTCAGTCTGATAAGAACGGATTTACATTAGGTACTCACTATTTTTTTCCAATATATGACTGATGATGATTATGAAATGGAGATGAACCATAACTTTCTCTACATAATCCGAAATTTTATAATCGTCTTATCATTTTAAAAAATTGAACTACGCTTTGAAAGAAGATCCATTTTTCATACACTATAGAATATATATATACTGTATACAAGTACAAATTATATGGGCACATTTCTGAGGTGTACCCAAGGGTTTTACTTTTTACTTAATATATTGGCAAATGAACAATAAAAACCTACAACACCAAACTTTAGAGGTAATTATATTCACCCTGTGCAAATGTGTTTATATCTAGTTCAAAATAAAAGAACCTAACTCATCTTTATTCATAAAAGAGCACACACACACATACCGCTGATTAAAAAAATAACATACAATAAAAAAAAAAGAACATGAAAGTGTGATAAAGAACATGTAGGTATAATAATTAAGAACATTAACCAACAAAATAATCCATATCATGCTCTATAGTGTATGATTTAAGAATTGCATTTTAGTCCACTCCATGAAGTTCTTCCCCATTTTACTTAGATCTTATTTTGGCAAAGAAAATTCCCTTTTTCACCCTTAGTTGGCCCACTATCTAGGATCCCATTCTCAAATTTATTTTTCTCTGAATATACTATCCTGATCCAATAATTAGATGCTCTTATGCAATGTAATAGGAAAGCACAGAAGGCAAGATATCTGAAAAATAAAAATTACATCAAGGAAGGGTGCATAAAGGACCTTACCAACTGAGGTGGTTCAACAAGTCCTAAAACTGTACTGCGAATTTTTGCTAGAGCTTCAACATCTCCATCAACTAGATCTTTCTTCAGGATCTTCAACTTGTCATTTACTTCCTGCCAGTATGGGAAATATGAAACACATAAACTTACTTAGAAAAGCGAGAAAAAGATAATACACCTTCCATCTCTTCAAATTTTGGCCAGTTGAACTATACAAAGTTATAAGATTACGGCTAGATTTCATATGGGTGAAGGAACAAATTTGTCCCTATTAAAGGTACTCACTTCAACTCTTTGGGACTGTAACATAAAATTCTAGACAATTCTAGGAGATAAGAGAGTAGAGGAGAATTAGTATATATGTATATGCATCTGCACTTTAAAATATTAAATTGTCATCATTCTTTAACAATGTGTTTGATTAGCTATCATAGAGGGAGTTGGTGTGAGGAAAAGGAGCGAGCTTACACTTTCCCACCACATGTTTACAACATTTTCTCTCTCATTTTGCTAATTGCTTCCCATATCATCTAAGTAATTAGCCAAAAATTCTGGAACACTGTATAATATTAACAAGAGGGAAGAGAAAAACACCTTGTTGGGGCCATATGAAAGGACTTCCTCAAAAGCTCCGAATGGTAGGGCCACAGATGTAGGGATTCCAACCCATGATGGAACTCTTCCTTTTAGATATGAGATATTACGTGATTTAGCTCCCACCTGGACAGAAAGAAAAATATCATGATACAAACTTAACTTTTCTAATATCCAATATGACACTTTAAAAGGGAGAAAGTAAGCTGTTGGTGTAGGGTAGCAGCTCATATAGATCAGAAGTACTTACTAATTCACCAGTAAATTCCTCTGATGTTATGGCGTATTTACCACTAAATTTCTTTTTGACCAAGCTTATTGATGGTAAAGAACTGTCACTCGCTGCACTTGAGCTAGCCCCATTGAGCTCACCCTCACTCACCTCACTGAGAAGCAAAAGATGAAAATCACATAAAGAGAGCAGTAATAAATAACAGCAATAAAAGCAGCATTTCTGAGGAGGACAAAGTGTGAAAACATTATGTTACCTGTAGATTACATCAGTTGATGTTGGCTGGAGGCGCAATAACTTCCCTTCAGCTGCTTGGAGGTCAGAGAGAATTTTGCTATCAAAGCATGTGGCAAAGCAAACCTAAATTTGAAAAATGTCTCAAATATCAAGAAACGAGATGGAAACAAGAGTTCATAGTCAAACATTTTAAAGGGGAATGGAAAAACTCAAAAACCTTGCAATTTCTTGCTCGAACAGAAACATGTGATAAAACATCTGGCATATCAGGTGTTAGTAGAGCAACAGTGCCATCAGGAATTTCCTCCTCTCCTTTCACATGATTTGCAATTAAAATAGTGGGTTGTGCATAGGTTTTATTTTGCACAGATAGCAACTCGTTAACAACCACAACATATCCAACAGCTTCAACTGGACTGATAATCTGCCAACTGATTGAGAAAGTTCAGGTTTAAAATCAGAAAAATTGATGATATAAACTACAGCATGAATAATCAGTCTGCAGTCAAAGAATTAAAATCAACCTTCCCAGATTGGCAGTCTTTCGAAGAACTGGATCCAGTCTATTAAGGAGCGAAGAGAGAGATGCAGCTGATCCAGCACGAATCATCTCTTCTGTGAATATGCTGACCTGCAGTACAGTCAAAAGGATAGGTAAACTCAGTGCATTCCGAAACTAAACAGCTAAAACACTAGGTAGAGGGACAGTTATTGACATACAGCCCACTGATCAACTCCAAGAAGTGATCCCAGGTAATCTGCAGATGGCTGCAATATTTGTTGATAATACTCTGCCTTGCTTGCAAGTGACAGACGTGTCCTGTCAAGGACTGACTTTGCATACAGTGCCCAATTTTCATCCTTACTCTTTACTTTATCAAGTGCACACTTCCAACCCTATAAGAATCAAAATGGATACATTAAAAGATTTGTGTAGTGAGGAAATGGAAGAGAGATTACTTTAAGAGGATAAGTAGCGGAAAAGATTTCCACATCAACACATATCAATACCTAGCAAAACGTAGAAACAATAACAAAAACAAAGAAAGGAAAAAAAAAAAAAAGTGGTCCACAATCCTAAAACAGAAACTCAAGGAAACAAGTATTTGTCAGGCTGTTCATTAGGCATCATAGATATGAACTATCAGTACAATATCCTAGTTGTATTATTCAAAGCCACCATGAGAAATACTGGTCAATCTTTACTAGAAAAGGAAGATATTGTGAGTAGACATTTAGTACATTAAATAAAGATATATATTTGTAAAATCTAGAAATAAATTTGCAATTATGCATCAAGTCCTAAACAATTTTCTATGTAAAATATAGTAGAAGCAACGACAAAGATAAACAAATTTTATCAATTGAACCTCTCCGTGTACTAAATACCTTTAAACAGTAGACAAGATCCTCATTATCATCTGATGAAAGAGCAAGATTTTCAATAACCATAGAAATGAAGTACATGATTTTCTGCATAAACACACAAACAACAAGACATGTTAGAAAATAGATACTTCTCAAACAACCTATTTAGTCCATATACTTCCTCCGTTCTAGTTATATTGCAACAACTAGAATTTTTGCACTATTCATCACGCTTGTTTGACCACATATTATGATTTATACGTAAAGTAAAATATAGTCATATGGGTCTTGTTAGATTTGCCTCGTAAAATACTTTCACAATATCAACTTTTTATAATTTTGACTCTTATATAATTATAGATATTTAACATATAAAATGTGCTTTGGGATGCGTAATTTCATCCTTGTTGCAATATTTGTGGAACGGAGGAAGTATAAATTACAGATTGCGGCAAAAAGAGGACATGCAAATTTCAACTGAATTCCAAACCAACATCAGGGAAACAGGCAGTTACATCAGTATACGACGGGTAAGAATAGTAAAGAAGAAATCAGCCAATAAATTTATCAGTTTTCGCAGAAAAAGCACGCTATATATGTATGCATTTTGTAGCATTTTCTTAAAAAATGATGCTTATGGAGTTATGGTCCATTTCACTAGCTATTTTTGGAAAAGATATGGATTTCATTATTTGATCCAGATGCAGGCTTCTTCTGAGCCATCAAAACTACACATTTCCTTTTGAATATCCTTAGGCCCAATTTCAATATAACATAGACTTCTTTCAATGTCTCCAGCAGTTATACAAGGCAGGTAGTCTCACAGATTCAGACACATTGATTTAGCGTGGAATTTATCAACACCAAAATAGCTCAAGGAACCACATTTCTCAAATTTGACCTCAGAAAATGAAGCTGTCCCAAATCTTATCAATCACAAGATGGTAAAAAGAATATTCTTTCATTGTATACCTCAGGTCCGGCGTCATTCAGCTCCTCATAACCTCTTTCAATGACTGTCCTCACAGAAGAATCAAGAGAAATATCCAAAAATATAAGATCCTTCAGCCGATTTTGAGGCTTAAACAACAGTGGTCGGAGTTCCTGTCGTGCCTCTAGTAATCCCTGCATATTATTTAGTCAGAGTTAGGGGAAAAGTATAGAGATTAAGAGAACCAGAGATAAATTAAAGATATATGGTCTAGGTACCTCAAGCAGTGGCTCCACATTCTTATCTTCTACATGTTCCAAGATAAACTGAAGCAAATTCTGCACAAAATGATATACAACATTTTACTTGAAAACAGTACCAAGAATCTGTCAGACTTCAAAACAAAAGAGGAACAAGCAACCAAAAAACTCTGAAAGAGGGAATGGTAAATAATTTACCGGAAAACCAGCAGGCAAACCAGGAACAGGATCAATATTCACCCCAACCATGAAGCCTTGACCCTGAAGTCATCACATATGATTTAACATATCATGTCTTCTAAACAAAACTGGGAAGTGCTGAAGAATGAAAATGACTGACTATACCTCAGCTTTGTAACCCATGCAATTTGAAATAGCAGCCTCCAGATCTGCTCCTGAATGAACTGCCTGCATAATAAAAATATCAAAGTTGAAATAACGTTCAAAAACAAAGAAAATATATAGTATTGATGAGACAAGGAGGGATTGGAGTACGAGGGAATATATGAAGTCATGCAAAAAATATCAAATAAAGCACATAAAGCCAAATCTATATCAAAAATTCATGCAATAAGGGCCTGGACCATAAGCACAGTGGTTAATATTTATCGAAAGAAAAGGCATACACTCAGTTCTGTTTCTGTAGTTTGCACTTTGCAAAAAAAGTTTATTTATAGAATTATCACACTTCCCAAGGTAGAATATACAGTAAGGTCTAAAGTAACAGACAGGCCTTGGTTACTAGACATGCAGAAACAAATTTGATTAAAATGGTGTGATGACTCTTGTCAAAGGAGAAAAGAAAAGATGGTGTGGTGTCTACCTTCAGTGTTCTCATATAATGTCCAAGATCCCTCAGAAGTCCTTCTTTCTGATCACTTCTGAAATTTGGTTCAGAGTGGATAGCACGATCATAACTAAGAAGGCGCTCTTTAGTAATCCCATTGTCATTTAGTGTTTTCCAGTAAACGCTTATGTCAAAGTCACTTTTGATGTAATCAATTAATGCCTGAAAAAGAAAATCTGTAAGAAAAATCAATTCCCTACGAGGATAAAAAAAATTCTACCATTTCCTTTGAGAATACCTGACAGATGACAACATCATCAGGACTTGTATTATTATGCAGTTTTTGATGCCATTCCTCCATCAGTCCACCCTTGCAATCATTGTTTCTCTGTAAATACCACATTACGCAACAAGTGGGCTTTTTAATCAATCACATATGCAAAGAGGAACCAAAACAAAACTATACATATGCCAGAGGCCCAAAACTGACCTGGATGACCAAAATTTCATCTCTAATTCTCTGTCCAACATCCCCCTCGCCTCCACGACCAACAGTTGACATTATCATTCGGAGAAGTTCCTGGTACTGGGGCTTGCTTCTGAATATGTTCTGGAGATTATCTGTAAGTCTATCTTGAGCTTTACTTATCTCACTGCATAATGACCAGATAAATAGTAAGCAAAATAAAATAAGGCAGAGCTTTGATAGATAAGTATGTACCTACCAGAAAGGTGCCCACATTAATAATTAATAAAAAATAAAATAAATAAATAAAGGGAAAGGAGGTTAAGTAAACAAATTCCAACGTAAGACAAGATATACAAGGAAGATTGCTGATCCTGAAGAGACAAGCTTCAAAGGACTTCCAAACTAGTTCAACTAAAGGTTGTAATCACAATCAATCACAAAGATAAGAAATTTACCGTGGCTTCACATTGTAGTTTTTGTTCCATATTAACTGCCTTGTGGCCATAAATCTCATCCATACTAACATCCCAGCAAGACCCAATTCACCAGCATCCATGGCTTCATCAAGCAAGTCTGCTGCAATGTTGAATCTGGAAAGAAGGGAATAAGATTTAGATGATATATTAAATGTTCTCTGCTTTTAGAAGCTTATTTTGCAAATGTTAAAGAGCAGAAAATGACTTTGGGATCAAACTCAGCCTTTCCAACATCCAGTTTTATTCTCTTCACTTAACAGATAATATTTTCCTCAAATGGATAGTTTCAGACACACCAAAATACAAATTAATGCGCACACAAATTAAGCAGCCAGAAAGAATATTGGAAAAGGCTTTTTTTTAGAGGAGACAGTTGCAGGTTAAGATGTAGGCATTAACCAATGTTACAACTTATGTGTAATCAGAACGGAAATTAAGTAAGAGTTTGAAGACTTCAAACTGCCACGTAGATTTGATTTTAGCAATTTAACTAACCTATGCATAAAAGATTTTTGTGCTTCACTTTCCAGTGAAGCTATCTTTTCCAGCAGCGACTTCGCAGTCCCACTTCCATCACCTGCATCCTTCTGTAGAAATAAAATTCCAATGGTACATTATCAGAGCCAGGTGAAATTAAGTAGAATAGAATATATTAAAGAGCACTCGACATTAAATGGAAAGTACAAGTAAAGAGCAAACCTGTGCAGGTCTGACACCAATGTCAATATAGAAATCTGAACCATTGTCCTTCATCCAGTTCCCAGAAGATACAAGGACAAATGGCATACCTACAAAATCACCACCTTCGATTTCTATCTTCAATGACTGAAGCCTCTGCAAAATACGTTTCCCTGTGTTAAGTCCAAATTTTCCATGTGTTCTATCTGTTATGTAAACATCAATCTTCTAGACTATATCAAAAAACTTTCAGCTCCCACAGAATGACAGCTAAGATAGTTCAAGGGCACACCTGGAGTAGTGGATCATCAGAGGTGACACTAGCAAACTGTGTCTCTGCAGCTTTTTCCACTAATTCTGAACCTGGTGGAAGGGCATTCTGAGGTGGTTGCTGCAAGTATTCGTAGAACATACAGAATTAGACAAAAGGGGGAGGTACCAAAATAGTTTGAATTTCAGGCTGATAACCACATTAGCCCGTTGGCACTTACCAGCCACTCATTTCCTTTACTCGACAAAGCCCAGTGAAGGGTAAGAGGCTCCCTGAAATCTGTCGCCAGACATATCTTTGTCTTATCACCAAGCTTAGTCACAAGTACCTTAGAATGAAAAAGAGTTTGCCAGTGTCATTAACTTCCCACAGAAGTAAGTTCCTTGGAAACTTTGGAGATAAAACCATTCACTCACCAGAAGTTGCTTGTCAGCAAGCTGAAATATCTTTTTTTTGATAAGACTGCCATCTTGAGCTTCCTTTGCCTCAGCAAAAAGCTCAACTGTAGATAAGGCTTTCGGTTCTGTCACTTTTGTGGATACTTTATTCACTGGTTCAGCAGCATATTTATTAATAATCTGCATCAGATCCCTGTTCTGACGCTGAATCCTTTCAGCAGAAAAATAGCTTTTTTTCTCCAGCTGTTTTGCAACCTTAGTTTTTATCTCTCCTTTGGCAATCTTCTTTCGTATATCATCCACTGAAGCACCCTTATCTAGTTCCATCTGCAACTCTTTTCTTGCTTCCTCAAATTCCTTCTGTTGACGAAATTCAAATTAGTTTCCTTGCTGAAAGAGAAAAAAAAAAAAAAAAGAAAAAAAAAGGAAAAAAACACTTTCATTGACACAATTTAAATTTTAAAGCACATAGCACACTATGTGTTACGGTAAGCCAGTGACAGCCAGTGTAAAACTTTGTCACATCGCTTGACATGAGCCACAATGATTGAGATTAGTACTAGGATGGATGACCTCTTGGGAAGTCCTCATGTTGGTTCATGTAGCCGACCCTACTTATGGGATTAAGGTGTTCAAGCAGAAGAAGAAGAAGAATATAGCACACTCTATAACTCCGCCGGTGGGTTTCCCACTCCTAGTCCAAGCCTGGATAAAGGAGGAGGATTACGGTAGGCCAGTGAAAGCTAGTGTAAAACTTTGTCACATACTCACATCGCTTGACATGAGCCACAATGATTGAGAGTAGTACTAGGATGAGTGACCTCCTGGGAAGTCCTCATGATGGTTTATGTAGCCAACCCCAATTATGGGATTAAGGCGTTCAAGCAAACGAAGAATAGCACACTCTATCAACAGAACACTATAGAGATATGAAGTTTACACTTTGCTTATCTGGAGAGTAATTTGGTTTCCCAGCTTTCTCCCATCTTAAGTAAGCCTGAATCTGAACAAGATCATCTGGGATCTTGCTTTCAGATTTTGAAGGGGTCTGATCCTTAACCTCACTTGCATTACTTCCTTTCTTTAACCTTGCTTGAATGTCCTGTATAGAAGCACCTCTGGCTACTTCTTCTAATAATTCAGCACGAGCTGCTTCATATTCCACCTATAAGACATATTGTAGGTATTTGGTTAGCTTCATGGGGAATTAGCATAGGTATGCATGTCATTGCCAAAGAACAAACAAATCACAAATTTCTTTGAAGTTAAATGCTCTTATTTGGTAGAGATGAGACACCATAAAGCGTTCATTATATCAAAGCACAAACATATGTAGCTAGATAAGGGTTTGATATAATGAATGTAGCTACTTGCGGTGAAGAACTTCATGGATATGACCAATTGCATATAAAAGAACAAATAGTAATTATTGTTCCTAGTTTTGTTTTATCTTTCATGCAGAAGCAATTATCAAGGCACACTGACTGATGAATGTGATCATGGTGTCAACTTTCATAGGTCATGAAACTCCTAGAAGTAAGCTATTCAAGTTTCAATCTCGTTGAAAAAATGTCATACTAGAAAAGGAGAGCAAAGCAGAAAATAGAAGCATGTTACACAAAAAGTTCAACAAAAGATTAGAGGAATTGGATCAGAGCCACCTAATCCTAACCCCCACATTGAGACATGCTCGATTTCCTCAATCCATATCCCATACAAAGTTAACATGCTTCATGTATTACAGATATGACTTACCTTTTCCTGTTCAAGGGTATACATCTGTTTACCCTTTCTTTCCCATCTGAGATATGCTTGTATCTGCACAAGATCTTCAGGTACTGATATATTTTGAGTATTCTCAGCTTTCCTAGGCAATCTCACTTGAAAGTTTTGGCCATTATTCTTATACCTGCCATTGTGATAGTAGATTGGAAAGAGATACAAGTCAGAAGAGTTTATCAGGTCTCAGGTGTATGATGAATATAGAAAAGGGACCATTAAGTAGAGAGTCGCAACAAAGTTAACACACCATATATTTCGGGCTTCATTATAAATAAGAAACTCAATAGCGTGTATTTCTGGATCATCAATCTCTATACTCAAAGAAGAACCAGAACCTGACTGTAAACACAAACATGCATTAGGATTATGCCTAACATAAGATACTCTGAAAGCACAGTGTCAAGTTAACCCAAAGCAAAACTTATATATAAGGGATATGCTTATGAAAATGGACTGCCAACATTTAGCTGTACAGCACCAAACTTACCTTTTGAAATGGGGTTCTAAGGGCCCGATCCTTGTGCACTTTAGTACCTTCAGGTCTGCGTGAAGGAAGCACCCATTTCCTACCAGAACAAAAATATAAAGTTACTGCTCAATTGTGGTATAAGAATATTAGTAGAGCAACAAGAAATTTAGGCAACTGGTGAAATTACTCTTTTCCATCACGTATCCCACCCCAATGAAGTACTATATTGTCATCATGACTATTTGTCACCACTATCTCCATCTTAGAAATGCATCCAGATGACATAGGGCTCACTGATACCTGTTCAATTGGGAGAGAACAATATCTCAAATTGACCAATGTGAAATTTCAGCATAACAAGCAAAAGCAAACTCCAACTATCAACAATTCGCCTTCAAGAAAATAAACAAATGAAGATTATAGAATTGACTTTCAGAACCTATATACCTGCAGTTCAATATCTCCATCAAGATTGTATCTGCCAGCTTGCTGCAATAGACAAAGACCATCAGAATGAAGGGACATAGATATGGGCACCGTGTTAGAAGCAACTCATTAGAATCCCAGTCATTTAGATTTCTACCATATATAATGGACATGTAAAGAAACAGAAGCATCAAATTGAACGACAAACACATTTTGATAGGACTCAAAAATTGGTGTTAGGAGTAGGTGTTACACAATCCTAATGAGCAAGTTCATTTAGTTAAGCACATATCAGCTAAACATCAAATGCAAAAGTAACTCAAAGCCTAACATAGAAAGCAAGGAGGTTGTTATAGTACTAAATCTTCAAATTTTAGCTTATGGTGAACTTCAACTGCCTGAATCAGACACTAAAAAATAGGCAATGGCTTATGGAGATGATTTCATATCTCTTTAATCCAAGCTCTCTTTTGCTCTACTGTTATTTTCCACAGAAACTTCATGGATTCACAACTTGTGATTCTAAACAGATGCTCTCTAGGCAGTCCAGAAACTTGTACATGTTTTATTATGGTAATGACATTTGTATACTTCCCCAAACACTTCATTTAGTAGAGGAATATTCAGGAAGTTTAATCATGAAAAATTACTATTTCAAATAATATGAAACCTCTTCCGAACATCCAAATATAGTACTATGTATATGTGACCATTAAATTCAGATAAAAGAAGTATATACTAAAAATGTACATGCTTAATCACCCCAACCTGCCCCCACGGCTCTAATACACTAATACTGAACATGAGTTTGTATAAAATATGTAGCCGACCACTTATGGGATTAAGGCTTTGATTCATTGATTGATTGAATTTAATCATTTAACTTCTGAACTTATCCATTTAAACTCATTATCCCGGATAAATGGACTCCAGCTCCAAATACCCATCAGGGTTAATATCTTTATACATGTCTGTGAATAATGTGATGCATCCTAAGAATTTCATTGACATCAAATTAGTATTCCAAATGACAAATGATATTACAGGGAAACAAAGGTTTCATTCTAAAATCAATTGGTAATAAATCTAATAATATTAATCCATAGTATAATAGACTTATATATTAGCTATTCTTCATTGGGTAATTCTCTTAACATTCCATAATCCATTTTTTTTTCTTGCGATATGGAGATGTCGCAGCATCCTCTCTGAGGTCAAATGGCTCCTACTTAAGAAAATCAATATTTTTGGGGTTCTCGCTCTAGAAAAAATATTCAAACCCTCCTCATCTTGCAATCCCCAAATCGATGGACCCTCCCTTTTTGGGACAGGAACTTAACCTACTCTAATAGCATAATACATCGTAAATCTTTAATGGATAAACATAAACGTGCATGTAAAGACTAAAGAGAGTCAAACCACATACAAGCTCAAAGTCAGCCAGTCTTATAGATAAGTCTTCCTCTTTTTTTTACAAAGTCTGAACCCAAATATGGCTTATTCTCTTAATACAAAAAACGTTATATTTGAATTTCACCTTAACAAGTAATATGCATTCACATTATAAAGTGACAAGTGCATTAATAAAGAGAGAAGGCTAAAACAAATGGAAGAACTCGAAGAAGTACTAATTCACAAAGGGTGTTGTTTAACACATCCAAATATGCACATTTTTGTCTATCAAAATCACCATTGTGAAGTGGAAAATGTTGCTTCTACAACACCTAAAAGTACTATATTGACCAATAATGGAAGTATATCATATAATCATACTAAAATTACAAAAGGACCTTCTAACAGAATAATGCATTTATGCATGATATGATTTAGAAAGCATAAATAAATACAACATTCCTATTTTAGCTCGTCCCAAAATAATACAAGTAAGCCACTTTCTAAATTTAGTAAGTGGAAATTCAAACTTCCTCAAATCACCATTAACAAATACCAATGTTACCACTTTACCCAGAATTCCAATAAAAATCTACATGGTAGGTCCAGAATATAAAAATCAAAAATTAATAAAATGATACATATGGTACATTAACTCATCCCATTAAAATACACCCGTTTAATCAAATGTGACATATTATAGTAAAAGTTAGACCATTTTAAAATCAAATGCTTATTATTATTGATCAAAACATATTAAAAAGAATCAGAATTATATATTTATACCTGAGAAGCAGGATCAGCAGCAAGAACAGCGCGCGCAACAAAAGAAAAACGCCGAGTTTCCATTAATTTCTGGGTATTGGAAAAAGATCTTAAGCTCTTCCCATAAAATTGCTTACTAAATATAGTATTAGAATTCCTTAACTTTGATGTTGCTTGAGCTTTGAATATTGGAATTCCAGAAAAATTCCCAGAATTAACCTTGCTTTGATGCTGCTCCAACAACAAAGTTATATTCTTTCCAATCAAATTACTCATTGTAAATTCCACTCAATTTTTCCCAGAAAAAATCATATAAAATTTTCAATCAATTCTTAATTTAAATGAAAAAAAAAAAAAAGGTGTTTTTTACCATATATAATTACCCAGAAAAAATTACTAATTATTTTGAAAATTGGATTTTGATTGAAGTTAAGAATTGAGCAAACTTTCTCTTACAAACAAGTAAGGAATTCACTTGATTTTGGAGAGAGAAAGTGTGACTGGAAAAAAGTGTGACCAATGATTTACTCCGTATTTTTCTTTTCTTTCTATTTCTATTCTTTTCTTTTTCTTCTTTTTCCTTTTTTAAAAAAATTTCATAGGAAATATAAACGACGTAGTTTTAACTCTTTTTATGATCAATAGGACACGTGTAGGGTGGAGATGCTCCACGGAGAGAAAGATCCTCGGAAAAGGTAAGGTGGTCACGTGCGAAATGTGTGGGGGCGAGGGATCGCAAATGTGGGCCCAAATATTGGGATACCAAATTTAGATATTTTTGAGATAAAAATAAAATTAGAGGAGTAAAAGGATCTTGATATTGGAAAATGGGAGGGAATTATCAAATTGTGGGCAAATTTGTTTTTCTTGTTTTGTTTTTTTTGTTACATTTTGGTTATTTTTGTTGCTATTATTGGATGATTTTTTTAATATTTTGTGAGGTCAGACTTTAAGGAAATATTGATAATAAATTATGAAAGTGTAATTGGTTGGCTTGCATTTGAGTTTCTGATTTGTAATTATAGAAAATGATAATGGGTGGGTCAAGTCCAATTTATCAAGATTTATAAAGTTGCCGACTTCTTTATCAAGATGCATAAATAAATCTTGTGTAATGCGGGTATACGTTAATATTATTGTAAAACAGTTAGTTGGATAACTTTAACTATTTTAATGGTAACTTTAATCCCTTAAAAGGCAACTTTTAATTTGTCGTTGATTTGAATTTTATTTTAACGTGTAATTTCTTATAAGTTCATAATTACATACTATGAAGGCTAATATAATTAATTTAATACACTATAATTTTTTTGTAAGATAAAACATTATTAGATAAATAATAACTTTTGTAGTATAAAGAGTAACTTTAAGTACTTTTACGATAACTTTATTTCGTCTTACAATAAATTAACGTACACCCGCCTTTTGGGAGAATTTGTGTTACCACTATGTAGTAATGAGATTCAAGTTTGTATTGGATTATATTTCCTCTTTTTTTAAAAAAATAAAAATGCATCATTTTTGAATTTATGGGGTCCTAGATAATTTTTAGACTAGAGAGATATGGTTAGAAAAAATAAAGAATATTCATATGATATGAAAAAGATAGAGAGAATTTATTAACAAAAAAACCTAAATTGAAACTTCTATTTATATGAAAGTAATGCATCTAAAATAATTAAGGAAATATTTTATCAATATTTGAGTTTGAGGGGTTTTTAAATATACACTTGATTAGTCTCATGCGATGCACGATTTGAACAAATGAAATTTCCTAACTTTGTTCATAATTTCATACCACAATTAAAACCAAAATATTCCCAAAACAAATACTTCTTCTGTTCTTTTTTTATTGCACCATGAGATATTTCACGCTTGCCAATGCATTACTTTAACTATTAATATCTTCAATTATACTTTTGTAAAAATTATTAAAAAAATTAATATTTTAAAAGTAGATTTCGAGACTAACTAGATCCCACATGACTATGTTTTTCCTAATGGATGAATCACAAATGATGGTCAAAGAAGATTAAGTAAATAGTGTAAAAGTCTTATAGTGCAATAAAAGAATAACAGAGGAAGTAATACTTTAAAAAAAATAAAAACTAGAACTCATACAAAAATTGAATGCTGAAAGGGCACCCTACTTACTAAACATCTAAGCCTAGGAATAGATACATGAAGACTAAACATTTTTTTTTCTTCCGGAATTTGATACTAATAAAAATATAATTGACCAGAATTTTAAAAAAATAATAAAAAAATAGGAGAATATGGACGCAATGATGATAAGCATGCTGATTGGGCTGATGGTGGCGACTTTTTTGACAAGGCAAGCACTTGATGATGAATTGAGTTTGGCTACATTACGCCTTCTCCTGCGGATAGTTGGAAGTATGTGAGTTCGATTTCTGTACTCAACTTGGTTACACAGGCCGCCACACACTGGCGAATCTAGCATTTTTTTATAAGTGAGTTCAAATAACATACACAAATTATATAAAAATTATTCATAAATTAACAAATTATATATAGGGTTAGGATCCAATGAAAAGGACCTTAATATAAGAAGAATGAGAAGAAATCTTAGCCATTCATACAAAACAATTTAGTGGCTGATATTAAAAACAAAAAAACACCTGTAATTTACTTCATCTCCCTCACCAAACCTCTATCGAATATCACCAGCATATTATAGAACTTTAGATTGATCTATTTAGCTCCCACTAATTCACATTCTTCCATTAATCAAGCTCGACCAATTTCGTCTTCAGATTTTCACTTTTCTTTCACTTTTTGACACTACTCTTCTTCTTTTTTCTCTCTCTCCTTTCACAAGTTCTCTTTCTCTTAAAATTATGGTGTGTCTGTTTTTTTTTATCATTGAATTTCAATTTAATTAATTGAAAATTTGATGATTACAACAATCTGCACAAAATTAGTGAGTTAAAATGTTATAAGAAGATACGTGAGTCGATTTGTGTGTGAAATAGGCAGCGGTAGACATTTTTGATGAAATTATGAATTTGGCTTGTTCGTATATCTAATATACAGGTTCCGCTCAAGATTAGTTTTCATTGTTTATCATGGTTTTTTGGCTAAACATAATACATGCACATATTGTTTGAATATTATGCATATTCTATACAAAGATTATGCACATTCAACTATGATAAGATGCTATGGTCAAAAAATATAGGAGCACATACTAGTACTTCATGTATAGGAATTGGATTGAGAACAACATGGTACAATATACATGATATGTAATACCTCGTATTTTTGAAAAGTATTTTCTTATTAATTAATTAATTATTATTTTCTAAAAAGGGTATTTTAGTAATTTATTTCACTATTTGAATTTTAGAGCCAAAATGATATTTGAATTTTGGCGCCAAAAGTATTTTAAAACTTAATTGTTATTTTTGGATTATGAATAAGATTTTTTATCCATTTATTTTATTTTAAAAACCAAATTATTTATATATATTTCGGATATTTTAATTAAGCAAAAACTATATTTTATTATTTAAATTAGGAGGTCTGAAAATTCATATTAATTGGCTATTAATTTCGGATTTTCCTAATGTGGAAAATCTTATTTTCTTAATTAATTTATTTAGTGAATAATTGGTATTCTCTTAATTAATTATTTTATACAATATATATTATTACAAAATTATTTTTAATCCTTAAATTTAGCAAATAACTTCCTAAAAATACACTAATGAGGTCCAAAAATTTGGAGTTATGGAAGCTCAAAATATTCGGCCCTCTTGGTTGATTTGTGGGGGAATTATTTTCGTAATTTGTATTTTTAATTATCTTCTTCAAAATTATTATTTTCCTTAATTTTTATTTCTCATCTCCTAAATATATTTGATCATCTTATTTCCCTATCTTATTTCATCCTTGATTATTCCCCAAGTAAACCTCTTTTTCCGTATTATTTTTCATGACAACATACTTTCCTTAATTTTATTATTCTTAATCACCTTAATCTCAAACTTTCCATATTTCTTTAACACTCTTCTCCAAGTAATATCCTTAATTCTTTTACCATAATTCTTCCTACATTCTCCTACCATAATTCATGCATGAGCTAGCCTATAAATACCCATTGATTCATGGCTAAACACTTACACCAAATTCTCTAATTCTCTCTTAATTTCTCTCTAATTCTCTTCTCCTTTTCTTTTTCTTTTCTTGCGCCACCACCACCAATCACCACGATCACCACCCTCCACCGTCAGCACCATCCACCGCCGCCACCAAACAGCCACCTACCACGGATTATTTGTTGACCTTATATTAATAGGATTATATTTATTTGTAGGGAGTGTTTGATCCAAGTTCTTGAAGTTTCTTTGTGTGTTCTAAGCAAGGACCAAAGGTACATTTAAGTGGCTAGATACCTTTGAAATTGATTGGATTGAATAAGCATGTTTTGCATGATTTTTATGATGATTGAATTAAATTGAATTGAATTATGATTTATGAAATAAAAACATGTTTAAATAATTGGTTTGATAAATAAATTGGAGGATTGATGTTATGTTTTGAATTACTTATCATGTTTGAATAAAGAAATTTATTTGAAAAGTTTGATGAATTAAATAAAAGGTTTATTTTTTTCAAAGGAAGAGTTATTGATTTTGAAAAGTTATTAATATGAGATTTAATTGTCAAGTATTTATTAAAAAGGTTGATTTTAAAATCATGTTGAATTTAATTAAAAAGGAGTTTTGAGTTAACATATTATAAAGGTTGATTTTATTCAAAGAGGAATTTCATGAGAATTATTGAATAATTTAAAAAGCTTTACAAGCATAATTATTATATTAATCCCATTATGTAGATTCATTGAAGATTGTGGACTTTGTATGACCTAGTCTTTCCCAAGAATAGCCTTGAAATAGTGGGAGACTAGCTTGGGGGGTGTGCACACTTAGAGAGGAGATTGAGTTTTCAAAAATAATTGATTTTACCAATCATTATTATTGAGTTATTGGAATTATTTTGAGATTATTTGAGAATTGGTTTTCAAAAGAGGAATTGGTTTTATAAATCGTTTTATCGAATTATTGAGAATTGGTTTTGAATCATGAGTTTTAGAATTCATTGGATTAATTATTGGAATTGGTTTTAAAAGCATGTTTGCAAATAAATTGAATTTTACTTATCTTGCACTTATCGTACTTAGCATATTTTGCTTATCTGTATTTCTTATTTGTTTTGGTTCGCCCTGTTTACTGTAATGGTAAGCAGTGTTGACTAATCTCAGGTGGAGTCAAAAATTGAGCATATGGAAGTCCTGAGAATGTTCTTCACCTAGATTAGGAATGTTGGTCTTTGTTTATTTATGAGTACTCATGAAGATGATTTCTATTTATAGTTATTATTAATAAAAAAAATTATTGAAGTTTCCGCTGCAAAGTATTAGTTTTGGTTAGTAAGTTTGAATAGCCTTGCGTAATCATGCGGCGGTAATACGCCTAAGTTTATCTCTATGGTATAATTATACGTATTATACTAGTATTTCCGTAGAGGGAGATTTGTGGGTGTTACAAAGTGGTATCAGTTTTCAAGGTCCTAAAAAGATTAAAATTGGGAATAATAATAAAAATTGTGGGTAGACTTAAGAGGGCATATATGATAGATAGAGTTTCGCATTTGTGTGTGAAAGTCAAAAGCTTTATTTTTATATAAAATTGTTTTCGTATTTGTGGAAAGATGATTGAGAAAAGGATTCTCAAGTTCTCTACGGAGGCCTATAATGGGCATGCCTCTCTGTCTAGGAAAGGCTCGCCTCGGCGCTATAGGTAACTTTCCTAGGAGACGCAGGCTCGACCTTCCTATATGACTCAAGTACATTATTATTATTTTCGAAAACAAAAAGAATTGAAACTATTTGAAACTTGAGTTGTGTGATTATGTGTGCATTAAAGTTGGTGTTAAAACACCTTAGGGTATGGTCTATAGGTCCGAAATTTTTGAGCTATTACCCATGATTGGGTGATCTTGAGTTATAGTTGGTTCATTGAGTTATGAATTTCTTATTGCAAATGGATTTTGAATTATATTGTTTATGTGATTTAGCATTGAATTGATTGTTTTGTATGTGTATGTGAAACAGATGGAAAAGATTGATGATATAAGAAAGAATTACTTTAACTTGTATTACTTGAAAGATGATGGAGTCACAGTTAGTGAGTTTATTACTGAAATTGTTACTTTGGCCTTAAACCTTTATGAGAAGTATAATCTGGAAGCTTTCACCCAACCACCTTGGATGGTTCTTTTGGCCTTAGCCCATCTACCTAGAGTTCCCAAAAATCAACCTCTCTTTGACAAGTATGGGGATGTGATCAAGAAGAATGAGTTGTGGAATGAAAATCACCATCATGAGGGGAAGTGGTTAGCAAGCATGTCTAGCCTTAAGAGAGACTTGCACTATGTGGAACGTAAGTTTGAACCTAGAAGGAGAATTGTGAAATTTCCTAAACTCCGAGCAAACACTTCATTGAGAGAAGATGAGCAAATGTACTATTTAAATGCCTAACTCCCTTTTCATACCGCAAAGACCCTCATGAGTTTGTGTCATCCAGTGATGAGTCCATACCACCTCTTGGTAGAAGCAAGAATTACCCTTTTCCTACTCGTACTCCAAGCTATGAACCTCCAACACGTCCAAGTCCAAAAGTTCACTTTCATGTTGCAAAAAGGCCTAGAACTCGTACCCAAGCTGTCAATAAAAAATCACCAAGTCCAAAAGTTCAAAAGCCCAATACTTCTTCAAACTAACCTCGTGGTGATGTGAGCCCAATCAAAAGCCCAAGTTACACTCCAAGCCCGGACAATAATCTAAGTGAATCTGGGTCAAGTTTATCAGGTCGTACTCCAAGCTATAGTGGCTATAACCCAACTTTCATGACTGGCCTAAGTGATAGGGATAAGTCCAAGCGAGATGATCCTGACCATGATCCGGATGAAGATGACTATGCTGAAAGTGTTGCTTGAATGATTGAACTATGATTATGTTTATTGCTTTGAATAATTGCCTTAGATGGCAAAGTTGTACTTTTCTTTAATTATTAATGAGATGAAGTTATTTTTATTGAAATTTTCTTTATGTTACTAAGTAAATTAAATGCTTATGTGAGTAGAACTTGTTTTAATTTTCAAAGTATGATAATTATACCCAAGAAGTATATCTTCAAGGATGAGAAACCAAGTGGGAAGTAAGCGCACTGGTTCCAAAGTAGGGAAGGTCCTTAGAAAGTTAACCCATATCACTGAAAACATCACGAAAGTGGTGAACAAGGGAGACCGGAATTCTGACCTTAACTCTTATAGTGAAGTTTTTAAGAGAGTTGCTGCAGCCAAACCACCTGTTTACTTGGGAAAGGAAGACCCAGCCAGCCTTGAAAACCGGATTAGGGAGTTTGATAAGTTGTTTGATGCTATTAATTGCCTAAGTGAGCTGAGGGTGAATAATGGTGTTTACTATTTGAGGGAGGAAGCTAACTTATGGTGGGCCCAAAGAAAGGATGAGATGTTGAAGAGACCAAACTTTGGTTAGGAGGAGTTTAAGGAAGCCTTTCCGGAAAAGTTTTACCCTTCTTACCCGAGAAAGCAGAAATGCATGGAATTTACCCACCTGAGAATGGGGAACATGTCTATCAATGAATACTACAACAAGTTTATTGAGTTGATGCAGTTTTCCCAAGAAGTAGTCCCTACCGAAACCATCAAAGCTCAGAGATTTGAGCAAGGCCTAACCCTGACCCTCCAAGGGAAGCTAGGGGAGTTACCTTTGAGACCTTAGATGAAGTCTATGGCTGTGTAGCCCACCTGTACGGAATCAAGGGGAGGGAATTGGAGCATGTTGGAGAGAAAAAGAAGAACCCAGACTCTTTTCACGGGGGGTGAAAAGAGGCTTAAGCCCAATGGTAACTACCAAGGGAATTATGAAGATAGGAGGGACAACAAAAGGAACTTTGGGAAAGGGAATGGATGCCAGTCGTCTAATGCTAGGGAGATTGGGAACCAAAGGAGTGAGAAGCCTCAGAGAAAGTATTTCTACAAGCGGTGTGAGAAAGATCACCCAAGGAAGGATTGTGAGGAAAAGCTGGTAACTTGTCGTTACTACCAGAAGTTGGGACACCGTGAGTAAGAGTGTTACAAGAAAGAGGTTGACGTTAAGTTAGGGAAGGTGAAAGAGTCTAGTGTTCCTAGTAAACCACCTCAGTCTAGTGGACCTACACCCAAGGTTGGAACTAGTAGCGTTGCAGGAGGTGCCCCAAAGGGTCGTATGTTCGTGATGAGAAGCTGTGAGGCTAAAACTGCTAATAATGTGGTAATTGGTGTTTTCCTTATAAGTTCTTTGCCTGTGAAAGTTTTGTTTGATTCGGGGGCATCCCATTCCTTTAATTCTAAGAGAGTAGTTGGAAGTCTCAGGTTAGAAAGTCCTGAGCCAGTTTCTCTAGATATGTCTATTCCATCTGGGGAAGTGAGGAGTTGTTCCAAGTTGTTTAAGAGTATACCTATTTCCATTTATGTAGTAGAATTTCTGTCGGATTTGATCGAGTTCGATTTGAAGGATCTCGATGTAATTCTATGTATGGATTGGTTGGGAAAGTATGATGCAAAGATTGATTGTGCAGCTGAAAAGGTTACTTTGACTAGCCTAAGTAAGGCCAGAGTGGTGTATAAAAAGGAAGGAAAAAGTTCAAGGTTGAGAATTATTTTTGCGATACAACTACAGAAGCTAGTTAAGAAGGGTTGTCCTCTGTTTTTGTGTAGTGTTCAAGAGATTGACAGTGAAGAAAAGAAAGGTGATGTAAGTATACCTGTTGTAGAGGAGTTTCCTGATGTATTTCTAGATGAGATTCCTGGTATGCCACCAGTGAGGGATGTTAAATTCACTATCGACCTAGTGCTTGGTACTAGACCTATTTCTAAAGCTCCATATAGGATGGCTCCAGCTGAGATGAAGGAGTTGAAGACGTTGGATGATTTGTTGGAAAAGGGTTACATTCGACCTAGTTCCTTACCTTAGGGAGCTCCAGTGTTGTTTGTAAAGAAAAAGGATGGAAGTATGAGATTGTGTACTGATTATAGAGAGTTGAATAAGGTGATAGTGAAGAATAAGTATCCATTACCAAGGGTTGATGATTTGTTTGACCAGTTGAAAGGGGCTGGAGTATTTTCAAAGATAGACTTGAGATTAGGTTATCACCAGTTGATAATTACGGAGCAAGATATTGCAAAGAGTACTTTCAAGACCCGTTATGGTCATTATGAGTTCACAATTATGCCGTTTGGTTTGACCAATGCACCAACAATGTTCATGGATTTGATGCATAGGATTTTCAGGCCATATTTTGACAAGTTTGTAGTGGTATTTATTGATGATATTCTGGTCTATTCAAAGGATGAAGAGGAGCATAAGGAGAATTTGAGACAAGTGTTGTCATGTTTGAGAGAGCACCAGTTGTATGCAAAGTTGTCAAAGTGTGAATCCTGGTTGGAAAAAGTAGGATTTTTGGGTCATGTGATTTCCAAGGAAGGAGTCTCAGTAGACCCAAGTAAGATTCGAGCTGTTAGTGATTAGCCAACCCCAAAGAGAGTGTCGGATGTGAGAAGTTTCTTGGGTTTGGCAGGCTATTACAGAAGGTTTGTGAAAGATTTTTCAAGGATTGTAAAGCCCATGACAAGTTTGATGAAAAAGGAGCATAAGTTCTCATGGACTCAAAAGTGTGAAGAGGCGTTCAAGACCTTGAAAGAAAGGTTAACCACAACACCTGTGTTGGCTTTGCCAGATGGAAGTGATCTATATCAAGTGTATAGTGATGCATCGAGTTTTGGATTGTGTTGACCTTATGATTTTGCTGATGACACAACCTAACTTATTTACAGACTAATAAGAGCTTGATTCTTTAAGTGTGTGATCAGATGCAATGACTAGGAAAATTGGATGTCTTGCGAAGATTCCATGAGGAAAAAGATAGCAAGGGGCAAAGTAATCCAAAAGAGAAGAGTTTCCTAATAGGAACTTGTGCTTCGGAAATGAAGACTTGAGAAGAGAAGTTCCCCTCAGGGAACAGAAGCTTCAGAGTAGAAGTTCACTAGAGAAGAGAATTTCCTTACAAGGAACAGAGGCTTCGGAGTAGAAGCTACATCAGAGAAACATGAAGACTAAAATATTTTTATGCTTTAGGATTTATGTAAGTATAAGAATTTGATTACGCTTTAAAGTAGCTATGTGGAATCGACCTAAAGGATAGAAGTGTGCAATGCTTATTTTTAGGAAAACAGTTTGCTTCTAAATCTTATCTTTTTAATTTATAAAAAGGATTTTATTTTCTCTAATTTTCGAAATATCATTTAATTAAATGAAATCTGATTTTTGTTTTCCAAAACTTGCGGACTACTCTCCATGACTTTTTCATGTCATGGACTTGCACATTAAGGAATTCGTGTCCTTAATTTTAGGGCATGTTCTACTTAGTGGGGTTTGAGTAGTGGCGACATGGATAAGCAGCACGATGAAGTTTTTCAAAGAAATTTTGATCTATAAATAGTCAGTTGATTTTAGTTGGAAAAACTCACCCTTGCTCAAATAGATTTAATCTTTTGCTTTCTTTAATCGAGGCAAAAGTCCAATTCCACATTAGTGAAATAGAGTGTTTTTATGTTCTTATACTAGGGTTTATTATTTCGAGTTGTATTTTGGGGAATTGGGAAGTTTGAGTGAACTTCTGTTTAGCTTTGAGTGTAGCTAGGAGAAAGAGAAGAGAGAAAGAGAAGAGAAGAGTAACAAGTTGGGTGACTTGTTGCTTGGGGCTTTGAGTTCGTTGAGGAACTCGAAGTTAGAGTATTTAGTTTGTAATAGGTCTTTGCCCTATTCTAGTGAAGATTCTTTTCCTAAAATCCCTTGTGGTTGTGGTTTTTCTCCTTGTTTAGGGACAAGGAGTTTTCCACGTAAAATCTCTCTTGCACTTTCAGATCCTTAAGCTTACTTGTTTTTATTTTTGCAAAAAGTTTGACAAATCTGTCATACTACAATTCAACCCCCCTTCTTGTAGTATTCATTGAAACAATAATTGGTATCAGAGCCTAACTTCTCGGAAAATCAGGAAATTCCCTGTGGAAGAAAGGTCTTGGACAAGATGAATACGCATGAAAAGCTTGAGAAAGGATACTCAAATCCGAGGCCTCCGATGTTCAATGGCAAGTTTTATACTTACTGGAAAAACTGAATAAAGATCTTTATCAAGGCAGAGAACTACCAAGTCTGGAGGGCCATTGAAGTTGGTGATTTTGAAGTCACCAAAACAAACGCTCAAAATGAGGTAATTCCTAAGCCCATGTTTGAATATGAGAAAGAAGATTTTGACAAAATGGAAATCAATGCTATGGATTTGAAATTGCTCCATTGTGGGCTTGGACCTCACGAACACAATCGTGTTATGGGGTGCAAGAACGCAAAGGAAATTTGGGATTTGCTGCAGATTACTCATGAAGGAACAAATGAGGTTAAGCGCTCAAAGATTGATCTACTTATGTCTAAGTATGAGAAATTTAAGATGCAACCAAAAGAAACTATTCAAGAGATGCTAACCCGTTTTACTAACATTATAAATGAGCTGGTTTCCCTTGGTAGAAAGATTCCTACATATGAGCAGGTCAGGAAGGTTCTTCAAAGCCTCCCACAGGATGAGAGATGGAGAGCTACGGTGAAAGCCCTTCAGGAAACTAAGGACTTTACTAAGTTCAATATCGAGCAACTGGAAGGTTCACTCATGACTCATGATCTGCACCTTAGAGTCAGTAATGAACATGTAAGGAACAAAGGGTTGACACTTAAAGCTGATGATGAGTAAGACTCAGAAGTAGACGACGATGAGGTTGTAATGATTGTGTGAAGATTTAAAAAGATGTTCAAGAAGGGACGCACCTCAAGGAACTTCATGAAAAAGCCTTCAACTCCTAAGCCTGACTACAACTGCCACAAGTGTGGGTCCCATGACCACTTTATCAGAGACTGTCCCCTCTGGGAAAATGATAAAGGCAAAGGAAAACCCAAGGAGCAAGGAAAGGAAAAATTCAGCAAAGCAAATTTCTCCAAATCAGACATGAAGAAGGCTATGATAGCTGCTTGGGGAGATTCAGACAGTGAAGAAGAAGAAGATGATCAACCAGATGAGGAGACGGCTAATTTTTGTCTGATGGCTAAATCAGATGAAAGAGCCTACCTTGAGGAACTCTTGAAAGAGGTATTTCTTGATCCTAAACAGCTTAAAACTCTCTCTAAAGAAGTCCTAATTGATATATGTCTAGAAGAAGAAGAATTCTTTAGAGAAACTTGTGTCAAGCTTAACAAATGTGGAAAGGCTCTCAAAAATTGCAAAGAACATGGCACATGGTTGGAAATAGCCTATGCTACGTCTCAGAGTAGATTAAGAGAGCTAGACATTAAGCATAAACATATAGCTGAGATAGCTGATAGAATCAAGAATGAAATTATTCTTTTGAATGTTGAATTAACTTAGTATAAGCTCATGAATTCTGATATCAGTTCTAACAGTTCCTCAAGTGATCAATTGCTTAAATTCAATTTTGATTTTAAAAATCTGAAAAATGAACTTTCGACTTTAAAAACTCAAAAGGATCAACTTGAGAAAGAACTGAATGCTAGAAAGGATAGAAGTAAAGATCCAAAAGTCATACCTAAGTGGTTAGCGAAAGCTCGAACAAAACGTACTAAAGGACTTGGCTATATGGCCAAGAGAATAGGTAAACAAAAGAAATATGTTGAGCTTCCGAGCATGAAGGTATGTACTTTCTGTGGTAAGACTAGACATCTCTATAAGCAGTGTAGAAATAGAGAGGAAGAAAACAAAAGAAACTATAGGCAATTGTGGGTCAAGAAAACTGATATTGCTTCCACGTCTAAGGAACCCAAGGAAACCTGGGTTCCTAATCCTAATGCTTAGTTTTCTTGCAGGTTCTAGTGAGGGGGAATAACTCGTGGTATCTTGACGGCGGGTGTTCCAAGCACATGTCAGGTGACATAACAAAACTTCTCTCACTAAAAGACTACCCTGGATGAACAATAACCTTTGGGGATAATAAAAAGGGTGAGATCGTTGGAAAAGGAAAAATTGGAAGATCGAAGACTCACTCCATAGATAATGTGTTCCTGGTCAAGGGCTTGATGCACAATTTGCTCAGTATTTCACAATTCTGTGATAGAGGAAACTATGTAAGTTTTACTTCCGACTCTTGTCAAATCATCAACAACAAGTCAGGAAAAGTTGTTCTAGAAGGAACTAGAAGAGGGAACTCATATACTGTCGACCTCAACTTAATCCCATGGAACAACCTTACATGTCTGAGTGTTGTTGAAGATGATCCCCTGCTATGGCATAAACGTTTTGGACATGCTAGCTTTTCATTACTCGACAAACTAAGGTCAAGGAACTTGGTTGTAGGACTTCCTATAATCAAGTTCCTATAGAACAAAGTTTGTGATGCATGTGTGAAAGGCAAGCGTGTTCGTTCATCTTTTAAATTGAAGAAAATGGTGAGCATCACAAAGCCTCTGGAATTAATCCATATGGATTTGTGTGGTCCCATGAGAATTCAAAGCAGGAGCGGCAAAAAATATGTTTTGGTTATTGTTGATGATAGTTCCAGATTCACTTAGGTTATTTTTCTTGCTAGCAAAGATGAAACCTTTGACGAGTTTGTTGCCTTTGCCAAGAAAGTACAGAAAATCAGCGGTCATTCCATAATCCATCTCAGATTAAATCACGAAATTGAATTTGAGAACTTTAAGTTCGATGAGTTTTGCAGGGAAAATGGTATGAACCACAAATTCTTAGCTCCAAGGAATCCCCAACAAAATGGAGTTGTAGAAAGGAAGAATCGAACTCTAGAGGAAATGGCTAGGACGATGCTGATTGCAAGTGGATTGCCAAGGAACTTCTGGGCTGAAGTCGTGAATACAACTTGTTACATTCTTAACAGAGTAACAATCAAAAGCATCATCAA